AAGCGATCCGTAGACCAGATGCAAAAAATACCGGCAAAGGCCGCGCGGCACCGACGAAGCTATCCTATTTTCCTTGGGGAAGTAGCAGGTGTCGTACTTATGGACGACAGTGTACACAGAGATACACGCACAGCCACGGAGATAGACGACACCGACGTCGTCGCATCGATCCTTCTCTACGTGCACATTGTCGTCCGGCGAGAATAGTTCGCGTTTCTAAAAGTGGAAGCCGTCTAGCACGGCGAGAGCGGAGGAACCGGGCCTTGCAGACCGGAAGCGGACGCGTCGCGGCGCGGAAAAGGATCGTCGCGGCGCCGTTCCTCGCGGAACTTCGCGATCCGATGCGAGGCGTAGACAGGAAGCCTGGCAAGAGGACAGAGAGGGGGACGCGAACTTTGCACACAACTTGACCCCCTCGCTGTTCAACTTCACCCCGAGAGCGCGGCGATATACTCTTCTCGAAATCCGATTTCCGCTGACCTTAATTCACGGTGCAATAAGGGCTCTTCCATAGGAGACGCTCGGCTACCGGAGACAGTGGCGTTTAGGCTAGGCGACACACACGGCCGTTGAAACGACGCCCCTTGTCCGCGCGCGGACGAGCTTTGTATAATTAGTTTTTGAAACCGACGTACGGACGAACGCTCGTGTGATTTCTAGCGTCGATACGCCGCCCAGTGGTCCGGGAATTCGCTTTCTGCGACCAAAATCATTTCAGCGTTGCTTACCAGGTTTAACCCTTTGCACTCGAATGGTGACTCCGAGGCACCACTAAAATATGTTATATCACCTCTTCCAAGATAATTTTGATATTAACGTAGTTTAGATTTAAATAATTAGTAAGAGTGTAGCTGTTGTGCGAGTCCCGAGAGTCAATTTTATATGGATAAAATGCATTTTGTCATATAAAATAGAAATACTATAAGTTAGGAAAATGATTTTATATTTACAGTTAAAATAGCTTCGAGTGCAAAGGGTTAAGATTGTTTATTCAAGCGTAGCAAGGTCATTGAATTCGTTTCGATGCTAGCTAGAAAATGCTGTCAAGTCCAAAATATGTATTAAAATTTAACCCCTTTGCGCTCGAAGTTATTTAAAATTTAAAACTAAACTGTTCTCTTTCGAATTTTGATTTTGTATATGTATTAAAATATAACCCTTTGCGCTCGAAGTTATTTTAACTTTAAAACTAAACTGTTGTTTCGAATTATGATTTTGTATATGTATTCAAATATAATCCTTAGCGCTCGAAGTTATTTTAACTTTAAAACTAAACTGTTCTTTCGAACGTACAGTATCTTGATTTTGTATCATTTTTATTATATTGCATGCGTACGAAATTAAACTTATTAAAACTAATTAAACTATTTAAATATAAATCAATTTAATCGTGTAAAAGTTACTTTAAAATATTATATAGCATCCAGTGGTGCCTCAGAGTCGCCGTTCGAGTGCAAAGGGTTAATAAATCGAGACGACCAGCATTTTTTATGAAAACAGATTTTCTTTTTACGAGTTTATAACGTTACTTTCGTATCGATGCAATGAAAAATACGCACCCGTGTTTCGCACGTGTGCCGTCGTTCAGGGATTAATTTTACTTCGAATTCTACGATTTTGTATCTAGAATATTGTAGCTCAGCACGGATTCGTCTACGATATTTGTAGCGAATAATATTTTGGATTTGGGAAATTTAAAGACTTCTCATTTTAAAGCAAGACAAACTTTTTCGATATAATCAACTGAAAAAATTAAAATTTCGACCGTGGAATGTTGCTTGGCAAACTTTTTCGGTATAATCAACTGAAAAAATTAAAATTTCGACCATGGAACTTTGCTTGGCCAGACAACTGTGCGCCGATACTTTGCGTTCATTCTATTGGGTTGACAACTAAGTAATTGCCAATTTGTTCAATGAAATAAAAAATTTTTTTACTTGGAATGAAGTTTAATCTGTAATGTATTTTCCATTTTGTTCGACGACCTTTTGCCATCTCTCTGACAACTTGAAAATTCCACGCTCGTAGAAAGTCTGATCCTTTCCGGCCAAAAACTGAGTTAAGTGAGATTTTACAGCGTCATCGTCGTTAAAAGTTTTACCACGAAGGGAGTTGTCCAGGGGTCGAAATAAGTGGTAATCCGATGGCGCGAGATCAGGGCTATATGGTGGGTGTAACATCAATTCCCAACCAATATCCATCAATTTTTGCCGGGTGGACAAAGACGTGTGCGGCCTAGCATTGTCCTGCTGAAAAATGACACCTTTACGATTGACCAATTCTGGTCGCTTTTCCTTAACCGCTGCATTCAATTTGTCCAGTTGCTAACATTCACGGATAATAAAAAATAACATAATGATAATAATAATAATAATTTTATAATATAACATTTACGGATATCATAAAAATGGGAGTGAAAGACATCTATAACTGAAATCGACAATTACTTAGTTGCCAACCCAATATTTGCTACAAATCCGCAGTCTACTTAGAGAAAGATTAACGTTTCTTTGATCTTAATGCCTAGTTCTTCGGAACGTCTGACTAGACACGTTCCACTGCAGGACGTCGTCGAGCATGATGCAGGCCATCGCTGGCGCCGAATTGACCTTTGGCAATACGAGACACGTTTTATGGCACTCTTTAATGATCGCGCAGGAGATTGCACTGTAAATTTCCCGGGGAACTGGTGCTTTTTTGTCAGCAATCGACGAGGACAATAAAACTTTATTCTATAGACGGCGACTAGACTGCCGATTCTTATGCATTTTTATGTAGAATATTATGTTCCTTTTATTTTTATCGGAAGATAAGGTCTGCATTCTTGTAGAGGGTTTTACGAATCTGATTCTCGCGTTATAGGGAAATGAACGATGCGAACGTAGATGCTTCGGGCGTTGAAACGAGGTCAGGGTTTAATATCAATCTAGAAGTAAAAATCGTTCAATCGTAAATATAGAAATAAAAATTGTTCATTCGTAAATGTAGAAATGAAAATTGTTCATTCGTAAATGTAGAAATGAAAATTGTTCAATCATAAATATAGAAATAAAAATTGTTCAATTATAAATATAGAAATGAAAATTGTTCAATCGTAAATATAGAAATGAAAATTGTTCAACCATAAATACAGAAATGAAAATTGTTCAATCATAAATATAGAAATAAAAATTGTTCAATTATAAATACAGAAATAAAAATTGTTCAACTAGTACAGCAATTGGAAACCATTGAAACTGTGATTGCCAACCGCCCAAAAAATTGCATAAAATTAAAATATTTTACTCAAACAAATTAAAATGAAGAAGTTAAGTTGCGAGCCATCAGTCGCGTTTTCAACATTTGTGTGTTTTACGGATTCTAATAAAATTAGGAATATGTAGGGTATCCCAAAATTATGGTACTTCCCGGAAATGAGAGGTTCCCGAGGTTATTTGAAGTAACTTTTTCCTCAGCGAAAATGCAATCCGCGGCTTCGTTTAAGAGTTATTAACGAAAAACAGCGACGAATGGCGAGCTTGGCTGGCGCGCGGCGGCCGAGCCAACGAGCGCACGGTGCTCGGTTCCGCCTAGCGCCGAGCGAACTCGCCCCTCATTGGTCAGCGTTTTTCATGGATAATTCGTTGACGATGCCTCGGAGAAAATTTTTGTAAAGGAAGAAGTTGCTTCAAATCACCTCAGGAATCTCTCATTTCTCGGAAATACCATAATTTTAGAACACCCTGTACAATGGATTGGCGTACAAATTAATTTGCAAATCTGATTAAACAATTCCGTTATCTACGCACGTATGACACGACAATGAAAGCGTTGCACAATGTTCATAAAAATACAATAAATGCGCTTCAACGTTGAACGATCGCGTGTTCGAACGATGATACGATCTCGGCATGTACTTTGCACTTGAGAAAGAGACCGAAGTAGCTGAAACACTATATCGCACAGGCAGCGGGACAAACCGTAGCCAATTTCTCTGGGCGATCAGTTCTCCGGGCGAACTGCTAAACGAATACCAGTCGAGTGGCTCCGACGAAAGAGCCCCGAGAGCGTCCATGGCGATTGTCAACGGCGTTAGCGTAAACGCGGCGACGAGGCCGTGTCGGCGGAAAAAGAAGAAGTTCTCGGCGAGTCGAGTCCCCATTATGTTCCTCGCTACAAAGGAACCATTTCCGCGAAACTTGGACTCTCCCTCTCGAGACGCTTTTCGCTTTCGCCGCTTAATCGTCTTTCAGCGATCTTGCGTCCGAGCGAAAAGAGATCGCTTCCGGTTCCAGGTATCACGTAGAAATGAATACCGAACAGAGAGGAAACGAATATGAGAGAAAGAGAGTGAGAAAGAGTGTGTGTGTGTGTGTGTGTAAAAAACGTGAGAATGAGAGAGAGAAAAAGGGCTAAAGCAGAGCACGGTTTGTAGAGAAGAATGTTGCCTGTATACTTTCTATCGCTTCTTAAGATTCTTCTTCTGTTTCTTTTTCTTCTTCTTCTTCTTCTTCTTCTATTTCTTCTTCTAGAGGGAATGCGATTTGTTTACGTGTGCGAACGATTTGTAGCAGCTTCCGCTTGTTCTACGTGCTTTGTGCACCTGGAGAAGAAGTTCGCTCACATGTTCTCTATCTCTATGTTCCTTTATCTCTCTTTATCTTTGTCTTTCTTTTTGTTCTTTTATTGCGACGAGACGCGCGAGCTCGCGCGCGCGCGCGCGTACGTACGTGTACTCGCTCCCTCTCGACCGTTATTAATTAGCCTTCGTTAAGAGAAATCGATTGGCACGCCGCGAAACGAACCGTCGTCGTGAACACGTCTCTCGAACGCTTCGGAGCCTCGTTGAGCGTAAGAAAAAGCGATCGGGAGTCGCGACGGGAGGAAAAGAAAAAGAAAAAGGTTCGATCGCGACGGCGGAACAGAGGGTCGAGAGGGCGGGGAGGGCGCGGAGAAACGCGGCGGATCTACCCGGTCGACTCACGGACGATCCTTTCAACGAATCAACGTCGTCGTTTCAGGACCCACCTTGGAACCACCGTTGCCCAGACGAAAGAAATGCCCGGAGCTCGCGTACAAGACGCACGAGTTCATCACGGCGGCCGATGGAGGTGGCATCGACGCCGTCGATTCGAACGTCGTAGCTGACAAAGTCCGGGTACGTGTGAACGGACTGCTCGAACTACTGATCCTCGAACGGTTCGCAAAGGGTTCGAAGTTCGACGGGCAACGTGCAAGAGATTGTTAAGCTTGCTTGTAGCATTTCACTCGTTCGAATTTGCACAGATTCGTGTATCGATATACCGTGCTGATACATCAACGAATATGTACATCCTACTTTCACCCTTCTCCACAGAACAACAGCAGAACTGTGTATTTTGATGCTTTTACACTGGATTCGTTTTCGTCCGCTTAACCCCTGTGTGTACAACCAAAATGTCCACGATATTTGCAGCGTAGTTATTACAGATATTTTATATATATATATTATTATTATTATTATTATATATATATTATATTATAGTTTATAGATAGTTTATATTAATAAACTTTCTTTCGCGAAACATTGATCGAGTCGGTTTTGCGATATTTTGTCTAGAATTGCTAAAAATTACTGAAGGAAACAGAATACCAAGGTATCCGGTTGTACACAAGGGTTGGACATTGGAATATACAAATGAATGGATTTAAACATCAGAAGAATAATGTAAATAAATAGTTTTAACACAGGGAGCGATTCTAAGCCGAAAGGCGAGGGTCGTAATAAATAATAATAACAAATAACATACCGAGAAATAGATATACAGGATGTCCCAAAAATGTCTCGCAATAAGAAATGTAGGTAGCTGAGGTCGTTTGAAGTAACTTTTTCCTTAGCGAAAATGCAATCCGCGGCTTCGTTTACGAGTTATTAACGAAAAACGCTGATCAATGAGAGGCGAGCTCGGCTGACGTAAAGCGGCCGAGCCAACGAGCGCGCGAAGCTCGGTTCCGCTTATTGGGTCCGCCGCCTCGCGCCAGCCGAGCTCGCCTCTCATTTGTTTTTCGTCAAGAAGTGAGCTTGGCTGGCGCGAGGCGGCCGAGCCAACGGCGCCAGCGGTCGAGGCGGTCGAATCCCAGCTCAGCTGGCGCGGGGCGGCCGAGCGGTCGAATCCCCAGCTCAGCTGGCGCGAGGCGGTCGAGCCAACGAGCGCACGACGCTCAGTTCCGCTAATTGGCTCAGCCGTCTCTTGCCTCTCATTGGTCACCGTTTTTCGTTAATAACTCGTAAACGAAGCCGCGGATCGCATTTTCGCAAAGGAAAAAGTTGCTTCAAATCGCCTCAGGAACTGCCTATTTCGGATTGCGAGACATTTTTGTAACATCCTGTACAATAAATTCTCTCTAATTGACGCTCCAGATTGTACACAAAAGTGGACAAGGAGATACGATTACTCGAGCTTCGTGGCTCGTTTTTGTAGACACCGATTGTCAACAACTACAAAAACAAGCTCGAAACAGGCTCGAGTAATCGTATCTCCTTGTCCATTTTTGTATATAATCTGAGCATCAATTAGAGAGAATTAACAGTGTACAGGATGTCTCAATAACTCTGTTACAAAGCGATATCTCCATTATCGTTAACGATACGCGGAAATGCTCGAGGAACAAATTGTTTGGTTCGAAGGGAGACATGTTTTGGTGGGAATCATTTTTTTGTAAAGGTCATATTTTTTGAGATTTCAAGGTCATCGATATTTTTTCAGATGGGATTACATATTTCTATCAATGTACCATGATAGCTAAGATCAAGACGAATCTAATAACCTGTAATACCATGACCTTCGTGTGACCTCGGGTACGAAAAATAAAGAAACTTTTAGACACGCGTCCCTTCGAACCAAACAATTTGTTCCTCGAGCATTTCCGCGTATCGTTAACGATAATGGAGATATCGCTTTGTAACAGAGTAGTTACCGAGACATCCTGTATACATATACGATAGCGACGAATAGTCCGAATACGTCGAGTCACTTCCTATATTAGAAAGAAGAGTACTTGCAGTGTTATCGGTGGAACTCGTCGATCAAGACTCGCAAATCAGGTGCAATCTAGGTGTCAACCGTGCACTCTGACTTCCTATTTCTAGCTCGTTCACTGGGTAATCGAGTTTCTTTCCGCAGGAAGTGACAGCGCAATCGGCCTTGCCACCGAGTCAGCTGAGCAAAGCGATATCACGGATCAGCACCGAGTATCGGTTGCAGTTCGCCTGGCCTAGACGACCCCAACTGACAAATGGGGAGGTAGTGGCACCGGGAGTCACTGCCGCAGGGGGAGCAGCAAGCACGACAGGACCACCCAGGAAGTCCCTCAGCATGGGGGCACTGAAACAGGGTATCGCGCCGACGGGGCCTGCTCCGGTTCACAAGAAACGACCCGGGGATGTCGATCACAAGCGCGATGGTACGCTATCTATACCATGCGCTCAGAGGATTAACGCTAAACCAGCATGGCGGATCGACTGGTCTATTATTTTACAATTATTGAGAATATATAGACGCTTGTAACGGAAGTGATGGAACGGTAGTTGTTCGAACAATTATTAGACTGCGGATTTCGTGTCTTCATCCTAACATTAACTAGCTGAGGTATCGAACGATAAAGTCATTGGAAGAATTTAATAATTTCAATAATTATTATTATTATTTCAATTACAATAATATATAATAATACATATAATAATATATATAATAATATATATAATAATATATATAATAATAATATACAATAATATTATATGTAATTTCAATAATAATTATAATTATTTCAATTATACATATATAATATATAATATATATTAATATTATATGTAATTGAAATAATAATTTATATGTAATATATATTAATATTATACATAATTTCAATAATATTTTACATATAAATTATATTTTGAAAAGAATTATACCTTTATTCAGCTTCTGTTTCTTATAATTGATTAAGACAATTTTTATTTTGATCCGCAGTTCATTTATTATGTATCATCCTCGCAGTCAAGAACGGAGATGGTCTGCGAATGTTCGAAATTTCCAAATGTATCTCCCCGCATAGATTGCACTTTGTTTCCTCGTTGCAATTTGTTCCTTTCTCCCAATAAGGACACAGTTTGCACTTTGCTCCTTCTTGCCACTAGGAGCAATTCGCAATTTATCCCTTTAGATAGAAACATCTTACGCTTTGCTTTCTCTTCAAAATAAGAACAGAGTGTGATCTACGTAACCGTAGATTCGTAGATAGATGTACGATGTAGATAGATTCTGCTGCTGCAATTCCTGGCGAAGTTCAGTTCGTGCAGCTGCAGACTTAATCTTAGAACAAAGAAGCCATTTTGGTATCCCAAATAACCTGAACTTTATTCCAATCGGAAGCCGTGACACACGGTTCGAAGAATTCAATATTGTACAACCAATTGTTCCGGGACTTGTTTTACAAAGTACACAACGATTTGCAGGGGTGCAGGCATCGGAGCTGGAGCCCCTGGTCGGCGGCACCGGTATGGACATCATCGACGGCGTGGTGCCGGAGGGCGACGAGCGCGAGGAAGAGATGCCGGATTTGAAAATAGCTTTCAGGTCAGAGAATCAAGACGCCCCATAAACACAGTTTTAACATAGAACACCGTGCGTAGCCTAGTTAGAACACCGCGTTCGAAAAGGGAAGAACCAAAAAAGCACCTACGACTGATCCTACCTAGAAAAGAAATCGGTGTGAAGCCGCGTCGTGACATGAAACCGCCGATTCTGTCTACACTTTATCAGCGCCGGCAAACCACAAAACTGATTCTTTGCAGGGGTAAAAAATCAGGTAGAACCGTAAGGATAGCAGACGATAAAGGCACGAGCAAACCGCAAGAAAAACCGTTCCCCACCTCGGAGGTGATCGAGCTTAGGCGACTCGCTGACGAGTACAAGGTAAATCCGATCACGGGATCGAGAGACGCGATACGTCGCGATTCTTCCGACTCGCTGGATATATCTGTACTTCCCTCCGTTCTTTTTTTTTCTCTCCATCCCCTATTCTAATTCGCTCTCTCTCTCTCTCTCTCTCTCTCTCTCTCTCTCTCTCTCTTTGTGTGTGTGTTATACTCGTTGTCTGTTTTTACTCCTTCGAACTACGTCACGCCGGAACTCTTTTCACGGACTGTACAAAAGCGTACCTTCGTTTAGACACGTGTGGATTCAGTGGACATTAACGTCTCTGATCGGTTCTGTCGATCGTCGAGGTATTTTCAGTTCCTTGCTCTAAAACCGCTTCGTTGATTTAAATTCCTTCAAAAAACAGACTATGTTGCATTTGTACTGCACAGTTAGTGCGAATATTTAAATACAGAAAATTCTTCCTAATTGACGATCAACTTGGAAACGAAAATAGGTAATTTGAGAAGTGGAGCTACGATTGTTCCAGCTTTACGGCTCGTTTTTATAGTTGTTGACGATCGGTCAACAGCCAAATTGTCCATCTTTGTTTACAAGCCGAGGGAGAATTGGAGAAAATTTACTGTATTTCGTTTGGAAATATAAAATATAGATATTTGGAAATTTGGAAATATAATCGATGGATATTTTTCAATATTAAGCGTGAATTTAGTGCACCCATTTCCAACTTCGCTATAAGAATATAGCGAATATATAAATATGCAGGGTGTCCCAAAAATGTCTCGCAATCCGGAAATGGGAGATCCCTGAAGTCATTTGAAGTAAATTTTTCCTTAGCGCAAATGCAATCCGCGGCTTTGTTTACGAATTATTAACGAAAAACGGTGACCAATAAGAATTGAGTACGGGATCTGAGCTGGGATTCGACCGCCTCGACCGCTGGCGCCGTTGGCTCGGCCGACTCACGCCAGCTGAGCTGGGATTCGACCGCTCGACCGCTAGCGCCGTTGGCTCGGCCACCTCGCGGCAGCTGATCTCGCCTCTCATTGGTCACTGTTTTCCGTTAATAACTCGTTAACGGTGCCTCGGAGAACATGTTTGTAAAGGAAGAAGTTGCTTCAAATGACCTGAAGAACCCGCCACTTTCGGATTGCGAGACATTTATTTATCGCAAAATTAACAGGAGATACCTCGACTCGGCAGAGATCAACGTTACAAAGAGACAAAGACGTCGGTTTTCATTGAGTCCGCAACATTCGAAATTCTCCACACGCAAAAAACACACAAAACCGTCTCGAGATTCGAAGCTGGTTGTTTGCATGCGTTCGTCCACGGTTCATCGACAGTTCTCGCTCCACTGTACATACCTTCATCCGAAGTCGAATCATCCGCCGAAACACCTAATCGGTCTCACACGGATTCGTTCAAGATCGTCCGAAACGGTCCGAGGGAGGAAAATCGGAGGATCTCCACGACTCTCTCGACAAGTGCATGAATAGTTCCCTTTCTCTCTGGTGAAAGTGTCCGGTTTGTGTCTTCCAAAGCATGCTCTCTGTGGCTAATCCCCCGATATAGTGTGTGCGTTGTTATTGTCGCGAGTTTAGATTAGACACGGTGCGTGCGAAAGCAACAGAATGACTCGTTCTGATTTGTACATTAGCATCGCGACTGGGGTTGCGGTCTGGCAGCCGAGGACGAAGCTTCGCTGTGGAAACGAGTCTCCAGTAACCACGCTCTCAACGCGCTGTCCCTAGCCAGGCCAGTACACTATAATAAACTCCGTCAATGTTTGCGTGTTCACGCTGCCGATCTTAGTCAGAGATGCTCCCTGTACCACGGTGTTTCATTTCGTTAACATTTATAGACCATAGATTAGAAAAATAATTTTACACCCTTTCCTTAGGATCGATTCGAAATTATTGACTGCGCATCGATTCCGCTGTTTCTGCAATGCGATTCGCTGCATCCACTGCAAGACATCGATAATTCCAAATATTTGGAAAATACTGATGCTCAGATTGTGTGCACAAAAATGGACAATTTGGGAAGAGGGGACACGATTATTCGAGCCTCGAAGCTCGTCTTTATAATCTTTGACAATTCGTGACTATAAAAGCATACTGCGAAGCTCGAATAATCGCATCTCCTCTTCCCAAATTGTCCATTTCTGTGGACAATCTGAGCGTCGATTAGAGAGACATTATTGTATTAACAAGTTAGAAACAATGCATCAACATTCGTAGTTTCTTTCAATGTTTTCAGTTTTATGTTCCACCTGTCTATGTTAGCCATGAATGCGTAAAATCTACGCTCTAGATCAGGGGTGGCCAAAGCGTCGACCGCGGTCGACCGGTAAATATTCCTAGTCGCCTGATATTATTTGTATTTATTTTTAATTTAAACTTATCTTTGGCTTTAAATTACTGTTTTTCTTACGATCACTTAAAACATGCAATGTTAACCCTTTGCACTCGAGTGGTGACTCTGGGGCACCGCTAAAATTCTTACGTCACGTTCGAAGATAATTTCTACATTATCAACGCCTAGATATAAAATATTGCTAAAAGTCTAACTGTTGTACGAGTCACAAGACACAATTTTACATGCATGAAATGGACCTTGTCGTATAAAATGGAGATACCATAAGTCGGAATAGTTAATTTAGATTTACAGTTAAAATGGCTTCGAGCGCAAAGGGTTAACCCTTTGCACTCGAGCGGCGAGTCTGAGGCGCCACTAAAAATTGTTATACCACTTTTCATTCAATAATTGTAACAGTATCAGATTCGTTGTATTTAAAAAAATTGTTAAAATTGCAATTATTGTACTTGCCAATAGGCACAATTGCAAACTGCACTGAATCATGTAAAATAAAAATACTGCAGATCAGAAAGCATCATTTGGATTTCGAATTAAAATAGGGTTAATAGACCGCAAAGGGTTAATAGACCGCCGCCTATAATTTAAAAAAAAGCAGGTCTCTCTCTCACCTGCAGTAATCAAAAATTTGTCCACCCCTGAGATTAATAATCCAAAAAAAAAGATAACTCGACCGCGTTGATTTGTTCGTCCAAGGTGCAATTCGTCATTTAAAAAAAAATCAACGACTCATTAACTGTGACTTCTATATTTAAACGAGGCCAGACGTAAATGCCTTTATTCTCGGAACAATTCTAATCGCTAAAAAGTAGCGTACCGATTTTCTGGAATACTCTACATGTGTCTATCTTTCTTGCATCTACCCGTTGTTCGTCGTAGACCCGTAATATCCGCAGTCCACGACAGACAGAGTCGCTGGTGAGTAATTGCTATCCCGGAGGCTTTGCCCAGTTAATGATTTTTAATTGATCCGCGAACGAGGAGCCGGTAACGGCGTGTAGTTGGAGGCAGCACGATGTACCATAATCGAGGTTGCCGATCACTTTCGCAAACGGTGTATCTGCGGGAGTGGATGCAGCCGGCTGCAGTACGACATGTTGCCCGACAATGCGCAGCTGTAACTACTTCGGGCTGGTAGCCCGCAGGCAACAAAGTTATGCTCGTTTCTCTCGTAGAGTTTCGAAACTAAATACCCGCGCCGGTATTTACTCTGTAATATTACTGTCGCGCGCATTTACGATCGGTGTGCAGTTAGGCTACCGGCTCGGCGGCGTGTACGGCGTCGGCGAAATTAACGCGAGCCTGCGCGACGCGCTGCTAACTATGGCCGACATTGTATAGATTCGTTCTACTCGAACCGTTCCGCCCTCCGATGTTCTATTCACGAGCGTTTATAATTGTACCGTCGGCCACGGGAACGTCGGCAGAATTAACATTGACTCTCGCCGTTGCGGGAACGAACTGTGGCCGACTGTACGCGGTGGTCTCCTGCTACTTCGAATGTTTACTCGTTAACGTTACATCCGCGCGGTTTTTGCGGTTAACCCTCTACGGTTTGCCGAGGAACTTTCAAGTCACAAGCTAATATATACATATTTTACCAAATAGTTTTAGTTTTTTTCACAAAATGATGTATACGTCTTAATTATATACACGTTGTCCCAAAAATGTCTCGCAGTCTGGGAGAGAATGGTTCCTGAGGTGATTTGAAGCAACTTTTTCCTTTGCGAAAATGCGATCCGCAGCTTCGTTTACGAGTTAGCAACGAAAAACGGTGACCAATGAGAGAACGCGAGATCGGTTGGCGCGAGACGGCCGAGCCAATGAGCGGAACCGAGCTCCGTGTGCTCGTTGGCTGGGCCGCCGCGCGCCGGCCGAGCTCGCCTCTCATTGGCCACCGTTTTTCGCTAATAACTCGTAAAAGAAGCCGTGGATAGCATTTTTGCAAAGGAAAAAGTTGCTTCAATTCACCTCAGGAACCATTCTCTCCCAGATTGCGAGACCTTTTTGGGACACCCTGTATAATGCCTCTGAAATAATCAATAACAATATTGACGACGGTTGGCAGAGCACCATCAATCTGAAATGTCAAAACAAATACCTTGCAAGTTGTCTGCAGATAGAAACCAAAGGGGCCATCTTGTGCAGTTGAGATTGTTTGTGCTTTTGTCGGTGTTTACTAAATTAGAAAAGCGTATATAATAGCTCTAGGTTCGTATGTCATTAACAATTTATTGATTTATTTATTTAGTATGGGAGACATTACTATACTTTAGATCTACAGTAAAGACGCTCAGATTGTCCACAAAAATGGATAATTTGGGAAGAGGAGTCTTGCGAATTCGAGCCTTGCGACTCGTTTTTATAGTTACCGATTTTCAACAGTTATAAAAACGAGCTGCAAGAGGCTCGAACTATCGTATCTCCTCTTCCAAAATTGTCCATTTTTCTGGACAATCCGAGCGTCAATTAGAGAGACATTACTGTATTCTCCGCGAGCGAAAATCGACGATTGTGTCTACAATTATGGTTGCGGACGTTCAACGCCGATAAATTAGCACGGGCTCGTTGTGAACAGCAAAGCCATGCCCGACTATGTACAGGCTCATTCTACTCGACACCATTTACTCTCTAATATCGCATTCATGAATATTTATAATTAATGTGCTGTCAGTTACCAAAGCTTGACGTAGGCGAAATTAACATGTGCTCGCGCAATGCCGGAATAATATGCTGCTGTCTGACTAGACGCAGTACCGTTCTACTTAAACCTGCTACCCAGCACCCTAATATCACATCGATGCATATTTATAACCGAGTTATATAAACGACGACGAAGTTACCGGCGGGGCCTGACTAATTACGGTTTCATTCCACTTGAAACTACTTTTATAATGAATGTACGGTCAATTATGTTCAACTTGCTCGAAATTTAACCCTGTTTAAATTCAACAGTAGCGCCGTGTCCGAGTAGTTAGGGGTTCGTTCTACTAAAAGCTTCTCACCTTTCGATTTAACCTTGAAACAGAAGTAGCTGGACCGACAAGCTGCAGTCTCATTGTACTTGCAAGATTTGCGTTCAAATTTTACTAGAATGTAGTAGAAATTGTGTTTGATTTGACAGCTGTTCCTCATTCACTTTGAATCAGAAACAGCGATGCCTGACTAGTTGCTGTCTCGCTCTCCTTGAAACAGAAGTAGCTGGACCGACAAGCTGCAGTGTCATGCTACTTGGAAGATTTGCATTGAAATTTTACTAGAATGTGGTAGAAACCTGTCTCTTATACACATCTAGATGTGTATAAGAGACAGGAAGTAGCTGGACCGACAAGCTGCAGTGTCATGCTACTTGGAAGATTTGCATTGAAATTTTACTAGAATGTGGTAGAAACCTGTCTCTTATACACATCTAGATGTGTATAAGAGACAGGAAGTAGCTGGACCGACAAGCTGCAGTGTCATGCTACTTGGAAGATTTGCATTGAAATTTTACTAGAATGTGGTAGAAACCTGTCTCTTATACACATCTAGATGTGTATAAGAGACAGGAAGTAGCTGGACCGACAAGCTGCAGTGTCATGCTACTTGGAAGATTTGCATTGAAATTTTACTAGAATGTGGTAGAAACCTGTCTCTTATACACATCTAGATGTGTATAAGAGACAGGAAGTAGCTGGACCGACAAGCTGCAGTGTCATGCTACTTGGAAGATTTGCATTGAAATTTTACTAGAATGTGGTAGAAACCTGTCTCTTATACACATCTAGATGTGTATAAGAGACAGGAAGTAGCTGGACCGACAAGCTGCAGTGTCATGCTACTTGGAAGATTTGCATTGAAATTTTACTAGAATGTGGTAGAAACCTGTCTCTTATACACATCTAGATGTGTATAAGAGACAGGAAGTAGCTGGACCGACAAGCTGCAGTGTCATGCTACTTGGAAGATTTGCATTGAAATTTTACTAGAATGTGGTAGAAACCTGTCTCTTATACACATCTAGATGTGTATAAGAGACAGGAAGTAGCTGGACCGACAAGCTGCAGTGTCATGCTACTTGGAAGATTTGCATTGAAATTTTACTAGAATGTGGTAGAAACCTGTCTCTTATACACATCTAGATGTGTATAAGAGACAGGAAGTAGCTGGACCGACAAGCTGCAGTGTCATGCTACTTGGAAGATTTGCATTGAAATTTTACTAGAATGTGGTAGAAACCTGTCTCTTATACACATCTAGATGTGTATAAGAGACAGGAAGTAGCTGGACCGACAAGCTGCAGTGTCATGCTACTTGGAAGATTTGCATTGAAATTTTACTAGAATGTGGTAGAAACCTGTCTCTTATACACATCTAGATGTGTATAAGAGACAGGAAGTAGCTGGACCGACAAGCTGCAGTGTCATGCTACTTGGAAGATTTGCATTGAAATTTTACTAGAATGTGGTAGAAACCTGTCTCTTATACACATCTAGATGTGTATAAGAGACAGGAAGTAGCTGGACCGACAAGCTGCAGTGTCATGCTACTTGGAAGATTTGCATTGAAATTTTACTAGAATGTGGTAGAAACCTGTCTCTTATACACATCTAGATGTGTATAAGAGACAGGAAGTAGCTGGACCGACAAGCTGCAGTGTCATGCTACTTGGAAGATTTGCATTGAAATTTTACTAGAATGTGGTAGAAACCTGTCTCTTATACACATCTAGATGTGTATAAGAGACAGGAAGTAGCTGGACCGACAAGCTGCAGTGTCATGCTACTTGGAAGATTTGCATTGAAATTTTACTAGAATGTGGTAGAAACTGTCTCTGACTTGACAGCTGTTCCTCATTCTACTCAAAACGTCTACCTTCACTGTGAATCAGAAACAGCGATGCCTGATCAGTCGCTGTCTCGTTCTCCTTGAAACATTTACCTTTCGATTATTACTCTGAAACAAAAATAACGATGTCCGAACAGCTGCTGTATCGTTCTACTTAAAACGTGTACAGTAAGTTGTCCCTAATTGACGCTCAGCTTGGAAACAAAAATCATCGTTGGAAGGAGGAGATAAGTAACTGTAAAGAGTAACTATAAAAACGAGCCGCGAGGCTCGAATAATCGTATATCTCCTATTCCCAAATTGTCCATTTTTGTATACAAGTTGAGCGTCGCTTAGGGGGAATTTACCGTACTTCCCAGTTTAACGCTAAAATGGAAGTAAAATGGAATTGCAGGCACCATTCTCATTCCGCTTGAAACATTTACTTCCCAATATTTCTCTAACACGAAACAATCGATTTCCATCTAATCGCACTATCATTCTACTCGAGATCCATCGGCTTTCTGCTACTACAGCACACATTGGCAAACAACTACCAACCGCTGGAAAAATATTCTGAGAAGCAAATGCTTCCAATATCCGACTACGTGCAGTTTCATTCTGTGTTTGAGACAAAAATCCAATAAAGTGCAGACACGCGTTTTAGGCAATTTAACTCCGGCTCGATAATGAACGAACAGGATCGATGATACTTTCGGCGTACTGTCTATTATATGTATAGCTATTTTCGGAGGCGAACAAGGGAATCGTTCCGAACCTTCACACAGGTTTTGTCGTAGCTGCGTTTTATTTCTTCCACGCGGTTTCGCATATGGGCCGCATCGGAGAGCCGCGGTGACGAGTGATTGCATGTTTAGGTCGGTGACGAAGGAGGAGAAGGAGAAGGAGAACACGAGGAAGGTCGCGCCGGTTTCCACGGCGATGACCATGCCTCCAGCGGGTCGACCGTCATCGGTGCAGGCTAGACCCATGCATGGAATATTGCAGGATGATACGAAAGCGGTACGGCATTCGCCAATTAAACATTATAATATAAAATTAAAATTAATATATATAATATACATTTATAATATAATATTATGATATAATATAACATTTATAATATTATAATTATAATATATATATATATTATAATATAAATAATATAAATTAATATAATATAATATATTAATATAATTAATTATATTAATTAATTATAATATATTAATATAATATATATATATATATATATATATATATATATATATATATAATATAATATATTTATATTATAATATAAATTTTATTAATACATATAATTTAATTTACTATTAATATAAATTTTTTATACAATATAAACTTAACCCTTAGCGCTCCGCGCGTTTCTCGAGTATCGCCTACCAGCAACTCCGACACATTTTTGGAGCGGAGCGCCTGAGATAAAGGAAGTCTTATTTTGAGCGGAAAAGATTACACGTCCTTGCGAATGCATTTGATATTTTATTTATTTTATAAATATACATTTTCCTATTGTAAATAAAAGATAAATTTTAAATTTTGTAATTCACCATGGTGCGATATCTTTGGTAACAATCTCCCATGTGCATTCTGGGTTTACTTGGACAAGCGTCGCAGTATTCGCTTTGCCAAATAGAGTTGCCAGATATTTCTTTCAAGTTTAGAACATTTTCTGCGTAATCGTTGATTTCCTTTATAATTTCATTTACCAATTCGTCCGTGAAAAATAATTTAAAATATTGTATCAGCTGTTCAATGTTTGTAGGAACTTGTGGTCCAATGACCTGTGGCAATACACTAAAAGGTATTCTATCTGGAAAATGTAATTCTTCCGTAACATCACGCCATTCATCCAAGTCTTGTAACGGATCTTCGCTTTCGCTTTCAATAATTCTCATTTTTCGTCTCTTTGGTAGTATAATTTCGCTACTACCACTCGAAGTGTCAGAATCATAACCAACATTGTCTTCCACAATGTCTTTTAACTCTTCAAAATCATATACGTCTTCGGTATCGCTCCGCTCTAAATTCTCATCGTAATATTTATTTTTCTTCATGTTGCTAACCATAGAAAAGGTCAAAAAATGGTTTGATCGTAATGGTACAGACTTAGCACGTTTTAACTACAGATGACAATTGCTAACGCCGACGATAACGTATGCTAAAAACATTTGGCTCCGCAGCGGAGCCTTCGGAGCGCTAAGGGTTAAAATTAAAATTATAATATATACATTATACGGCCTCATAATTCCAAAGCGAAGAACGCGATAGCATGATCGAATATAACGCAATTTGCCACGCTTGTTCGAATTATTTACATAACATCCGTAAATTATTCTTCTGTACCAAAGGAATAACAAGCATATTTAACAATTCAATCGACGATCGAATCTCGTCTTCGATCGTTTATTGTAAATTACGATCGTAGTTTAAGTATTGTCTCGCACTGTCTAACCGAATTTATTTAACGTGCCAATCGGTAAATCATTATTTTCAGCTGTTTCTTATCGATTACACGTTTCCCTAATGGAAGATAATGCGTTACTAATTGGCACACCCTATGTGAAGCTAACCAACTGACCAAATCTCTATAGAAAACATTGCGTGACTCTATAGGTCATCGATCTTTCGCAGGACACCGAAAGAGCTATAGCTCGCGCAAGAAAGGATTTCTTGATCCGCCACCATCTGGATCGTACAACCGGTGTGGGTGAGTAAACGATCGAACCGACCGACTAATTCGCCGCGAGCATAATTAGAGTGAATCGTAGGAATCGGGAACTGGTCTGATAGGAACATTAAAAGACTCGACCGATGTTTGACAGGAGACGGGGCACTGCTTCCCTCTCCCACGAGAGAGAAATTGGAGCCCGTGATACCACGACGTCGCGAAGACGCGAAAGAACATCGCGAAGAAGTGCAGCCTAAGACGAAGTCCAGCCCGAAGAACAGTCCCAGAACTGGCCGTTCCCAGAGTCTTGGCCCGAGCGTGACCGAGCGTAGATCGCCTAAACGTCAGCCACCGCGTGCACCCTCTGTCACCAAGGATGCGAAGGTAGAGTCGATTTCTGTGACACCTGCAGTTGCCTCGGAAAGCGCCAGTCAAATTACTACGATTCGGAATCGCGAACATAAATTGCACAGTTCTAATTTGCGTAAAGATCCATTGTCTTCGACTTCAGAGTTTGTAGATTCTTCAAGTATTAACCCTTCGTATTCGAAGCTATTTTAAGTCTAAATCCGAAATTGTTTTCTTAATCTGCAATATTTCCATGTTATACAATTTACTATAATTTATGCACATGAAACTGAGTCTTGTGGCCCGTACAGCATTCGGATTGGCAACAGTTTTTAGAATATAAACGAGTCTGATAATCTGCGAATTATTTCGAAATGCGAACAAGTATTTTTAATGGTGCCTCAGAGTCGCCACTCGAGTGCAAAGAGTTAATCCCTTGACATACAATGACGAGTTGGGGTCGTCATTCGTTTCATGCGTCACTATAGACTTCCACGACTCTAATTCGTCAACAGCTGTTTTCGGTGGACGCCGTGCAGTATATTATTCAGTTGCTTCACTCGTGCGTCGGTTCTGCTTTGTTGACAATGTTCGCGACGCCCCACCCTCCCACCTTCTCGACAGTGCCAATAACAAAGTTGCATCCGCGAATCGGTAATCCAAATTTCAAAATAAAACATTCTCTTTCTCAGCTTGCACGTAACTGTTCAGTCGAGGCAAATTAAATAGTATTTTTCGGGCGCATCAAATTCCGCTTTATTTCTATGTCAAGGGGTTAAGCGTTTGCCTTCAACGTCGCTTCAAAATTGAAGTACTGTGAAGACCTGATTAACACTATGCCGTCCGATGGCACCACGCTGGTGCCATGCAAAAACTATCTGTTGTATGCCGGTGGTACCACTTTGGTGCCATTTTAAAAAACTGAAATAACATTTGAACTATATTTCTTGGGTGTTAAAAGGCAGAAAACTAACTATAGCATTGTGCTTATTTAACTAAGAATTAAGCACGAAAATTCTTGGATGACTTATCTTAATTTTAGGAATTCATGTTACCGCCATCTTCGAAATTTTTATTAAAATCTAAAATTTCCACGCTATTATGCCGGCGTCAAACAAAAGAATCAAATCTAAGATCTGCGGACGGCATGGTGTTAACAGCTTCGTTCTCTTTGACGTGTTATGTCGCGACGCCGATACTGTTTTTTATAAGGTCACAGAGGAGATATCTCGCGACGTAATGCCGCTTGTGCGGTGCCACGGACGTGTNATCCGAAATTGTTTTCTTAATCTGCAATATTTCCATGTTATACAATTTACTATAATTTATGCACATGAAACTGAGTCTTGTGGTCCGTACAGCATTCGGATTGGCAACAGTTTTTAGAATATAAACGAGTCTGATAATCTGCGAATTATTTCGAAATGCGAACAAGTATTTTTAATGGTGCCTCAGAGTCGCCACTCGAGTGCAAAGAGTTAATCCCTTGACATACAATGACGAGTTGGGGTCGTCATTCGTTTCATGCGTCACTATAGACTTCCACGACTCTAATTCGTCAACAGCTGTTTTCGGTGGACGCCGTGCAGTATATTATTCAGTTGCTTCACTCGTGCGTCGGTTCTGCTTTGTTGACAATGTTCGCGACGCCCCACCCTCCCACCTTCTCGACAGTGCCAATAACAAAGTTGCATCCGCGAATCGGTAATCCAAATTTCAAAATAAAACATTCTCTTTCTCAGCTTGCACGTAACTGTTCAGTCGAGGCAAATTAAATAGTATTTTTCGGGCGCATCAAATTCCGCTTTATTTCTATGTCAAGGGGTTAAGCGTTTGCCTTCAACGTCGCTTCAAAATTGAAGTACTGTGAAGACCTGATTAACACTATGCCGTCCGATGGCACCACGCTGGTGCCATGCAAAAACTATCTGTTGTATGCCGGTGGTACCACTTTGGTGCCATTTTAAAAAACTGAAATAACATTTGAACTATATTTCTTGGGTGTTAAAAGGCAGAAAACTAACTATAGCATTGTGCTTATTTAACTAAGAATTAAGCACGAAAATTCTTGGATGACTTATCTTAATTTTAGGAATTCATGTTACCGCCATCTTCGAAATTTTTATTAAAATCTAAAATTTCCACGCTATTATGCCGGCGTCAAACAAAAGAATCAAATCTAAGATCTGCGGACGGCATGGTGTTAACAGCTTCGTTCTCTTTGACGTGTTATGTCGCGACGCCGATACTGTTTTTTATAAGGTCACAGAGGAGATATCTCGCGACGTAATGCCGCTTGTGCGGTGCCACGGACGTGTTATCCCGCGATGCAATACCGTTCGCGCGGTGCCACAGGCGAGTAAACACGCTTTAATCCGAGAGCTGTAATTCGGAGAAATTTGGTTCCATTGACGCAACATAGAAGCAAGCTAAGTTGCCACGGACAGAGCAAAACCAGAAGCGCGTGTTTACTCGACTGCGGCACCGCGCGAGCGGCATTACGTCGCGGGTAACGCGTCCGTGGCACCGCACGAGCGGCATTGCGTCGCGGGATAAAGCGTCCGTGGCACCGCACGAACGGTACTGTGTCGCGGGATAACGCGTCCGTGGCACCGCACGAGCGGCATTGCATCGCAAAATAACGCATCCGTGGCACCGCACAAGCAACATTACGTAGCAAGAGATCTCGTCTGTGACCTTGTACGTGCAGTATCGATGCAATGACATAATACGCCCGTAAGAGCGAAGCGGTTAAGGTAAAAGTACCTATTACGGAACAGCTTTTCATGGGGCATAAGATTATCATCGATTTTATTACAATCGAAACGCTTTACCGTTGAACGTTTAAACGGTGTTTCATAACAGATACTGTTATTGCAGGACACGCGAATGACTTGCACAGAGAGCAACAGGTGACAAATCGAAATGTTCGCAAACACGATCAACAACTAGATCGCGGATTTCTGTGCAAAATAAAAATTATGGGAACATCGCAATAACTTTAACGAGTTAAAAATAACGCGACGGTATCTCTAAATTTTTCAAACGTGTTTTGACATCTTGTATTCCATTTATTCGTAACTTGTCACGAATGCATGAAATCCGAGTCCAGCGATTGGACGTGAGAACGTTATTCGATCGAACAACGCGCTTTCCGAGGCAACTGTAATTTACTATGAAAGCTATATTTACTATGATCGTACCCGTGAACCGTGTCACGGACTGATAAACCTTTCACCGGATCGAATTCCCGCAGGAGAAAGAGAAAGAGCCGAAGGATAAAGAGAAGGATCAAAGGGAGAAGATCGGTGAGCCTGAAAGGCATCCACGACCGAGTAAGTAGCCCCGACCGAGCATCGTCGACATCCCCGTTTTTTCGACATCCCTCTGTCTCGATAACAGTCGATTTACTATTGTTATATCTTAGCATCCAAGAGATCGTAAAACCTACTGAAACCCCAGATCGATTGGCGCTCGTAATCTCCGCCACGAAACAAATCCCCCGTTTGCATTTTCGTGCATCGTCGATTGGACAGTTATCTTCTTGAATTACCGTACACCTTTCGTTCGTTTTTACGTTGAACATTATTTTCCGTTTCTTTTGTATAGAAGTCTCGTGTAAATATGTATCTATGCGATTTATTATTGGACTGCTCTGTTTGCTCTTGTGGGCCTCGAAAGCCGAACGTGTTCTATAACCTACTTTTCACTGTCACCACGAACAACCTTGTTCGGAACGTGTCGCGTGAGACATTCACCGCTTCTAAAGAGTTCACAGAGCCGCGGCGACGACTCGGTTTCCAATTCTTTGAGCGGTGCGTGTGTCCCGGACGTATAATTGCCAAACTCGTCGCTGGCCTTGGAACCCTCGAGGACCCTGCCCGCGTCGAGTCCTGTCACGCTTCGATAGACCTCTTCGAACGATCGTCTATCGTTCTTCCCCCATCGAATGAGAAAAAACTGTCTTCGCGAGTTTGATTGCGCGGTCGACAAATAATTGTTCGATGTGTCCCGAGCGCCGTCAGATTTATCGAATCGAGTACACGGAATAAAATAGACTAATCATATATATATATATACCGAGTTCAGCGAACTTGGTCCTCGTGAGTTCCAAGGACGTATACTGTACTATCTTTATTTTCGTAATATTTTGTTTCTTAGGCAGATGCATGATACTCATGTTTATTGATCTGTACCTATCTCTCTGTCTCTGCCAGTCTAGTAACCAGTAGCTCTATTGTTTGGCCGTACAGAAAGTTTTTTGCGACATGTTGTTCCCCCATTCCCCGAACGGCCTCCGTGAGCCGCGAAAGTAGCATAGCTGGCGGACACGTTTCGCCGAGTCCGGCGAGGATCGAGCCGGACGCCGACAGCGACCGCGGCGAGCAATCTTGCCGGGCTCCCGTTTAGCTTTAGGCGTCTTTACGAACGCCAACCATAACCGAGACGTGAACCCGTTTCATCTTCGACCCTCCGACTACCATCACCTCTCTCTCTCTTTCTCTCTCTATTTTTCTCTCTCTCTCTCACTCTCTCTCTCTCTGTCTCTCTCTCTCTCTCCCTCTCTCTCATGTTGCGACGATCTTCCGGCTCGCGAAAATCACGCGAGCGTCACGACTCACGCTACCTCTAACCACGAACCGTCGTCATCTCTCATCATCGGCATTCTACTCATCTTCATTATCGTTCCATCATCAAGTCTTCTCTTTCTCTCTCTCTCTATCTGATCACGATCGGTCGGTTGCCATCATCCTCGTCATCGAACGGTCACTCTCCCCGCAGACTCGAAGTCAGCAGGCGTATCGAGATAGACACACCCCGTGCGGACCAGCAAGCCCCGTCTCTATCGACAATTAAGGGGTCTACCTACTTTCGGAATAGGGCAAAATCGAATCTCCTTTTATCCTCCGCGACGGAGTCCCGCGACGTTGCCTTTTGTCGCGGAAGGGTGGAGAAGGAACGGGAAGGGGTCAGTGCGTCCAGTCTTTTATGCTAGACTGTAACGGCGCCCTAGGGAATGACTCTGCAAAATTTCATTCGGACTGATCAAAGGGGTTTCGGATTATCGGGGAACGCGGAGAGACGTTCTATTTTGTGTGTACACCGCCGGCTGAAATTTAGGCGCTCGCCTGTGCTGGTACAGTAATGTCTCTCTAACTGACGCTCAGATTGTCCACAAAAATGGAGAATTTTGGAAGAGGAGATACGATTGCTCGAGCCTTGTGGCTCGTTCTTTATGGTTATCGATTGCCAACAACTATAAAAACGAGCTTCAAGGCTCGAACAATCGTATCTCCTCTTCCAAAATTCTCCATTTTTGTGCACAATTTCGGCGTCAATAAGGGAGACATTACTGCAGTTCTGGGAAGTCGTTGGAGCTACAGTAACGTCTCTCTAACTGACGCTCAGATTGTCCACAAAAATGGAGAATTTTGGAAGAGGAGATACGTTTGTTCGAGCCTTGTGGCTCGTTCTTTATGGTTATCGATTGCCAACAACTATAAAAACGAGCTTCAAGGCTCGAACAATCGTATCTCCTCTTCCAAAATTCTCCATTTTTGTGCACAATTNGAGGGAGAGAGAGATAGAGAGAGAGGCTTATCGGTTCCATTCAAGCCGGGCTATTGATACGCGCGCGGAAATCCTGCGGACGGTTTTCTGGGACGAATCCGGGACGCGGATGACCGAGAAAAGCCGGCCGATAATTATGTTATACGCTCGGCCGTGGGCTCCGAATGGTATTCCAATTAAAGGGAAACTCTGGGGAATTTTAAAGGATCCCGGATAGCCGCGCCGAAGCTCGCAACTGCGAGACAATAAGGCGCCATACCGAAACATCACAGAAAAACTCGATTCACTTTATGAACGCTTTCAGGTGTTATCTGTACTAAAAAATGCTACCAATTAGGTCGTATTAAGGCGATTATACCATGACAGAAATTAATTTAACACGAACGGGGACTTTTTACAATCGTGCAAGTACATCCGACGTGGCTGCCAAAGTATCGTCCAAAACAAAATTTCCTACCAAAATGAAACGGTACAAAAGAAAAAGCTTTTAAAGAATTTTTAAGAAGAATACTTTTTATATTATTTGTATGATTCTGTATTGTATGCACGCCGTTCAGATTACATTGTTTTTACTCACATTATACTTACACAAATTAAACGATGCGGCTCTCGCCGGTGCCACGTACAGACTAAGTGTTAAATAATTACGAGATCAGAATTGATTTGATATTTTTAATATGATGCACGAAATCGTACGAATGTGTTTGGAAATATACACGATACAATCGTTTCAATCTTGACGTTTTGGTAGAAGTCACACGAGAGATTGATGTTTTAAACAAACGTTTCCCTTAGTTCAGAATGTGCGTGCTAAAATTTGGAAAATTTAGAAATAAAAATTCAAATGGAATTAAAAATAAAGACGACGCGCGATCGCTGTGTGCTCTCGATTCGCTCGAGTGTCTTAATGATCGAGAACGACGTCCACGCTGTTGCAGAATAACCTCGATTACCTAAGCTAAGCAAGGTAAATGTTTGGATAACAGTGCAATTAGTTACGTAGTAACTAGTGCCAGAGTTAATCATTATCCATTTATCCGAACTGAAAGCTGCCCTATGATGCAATGTTTCCGAAATGAATACAATAATTCGTATGAGAATACAAAGGGAATGAATAATACGAAATTAGTGGAATGAAAATAGTTATATAAGCCAAATTGTGTGTCTGAATAAACCGGAAACACGGTACAGTAATGTCTCCCTAATTGACGCTCAGATTGTCCGCAAAAATGGACAATCTTGGAAAAGAAGATACGATTGTTCGAGCTTTGTGGCTCGTTTTTTATGGTTATCGATTGTGAACAACTATAATAAACGAGTTGCAAGGCTCGAATAATCGTATCTCCTCTTCCCAAATTGTCCATTTTTGTGCAAAATCTGAGCATTAGTTAGGGAGACATTACTGTACCGCTTAGCTCGAAATTTAGCACGGTTGCCAACACCTTGGTGTAAATTAATGGATATTTCGATAAATGGCAGCAGAATCGATCGAAGCTGATCAGCATTGGTTGCTTGGTACTACCATTATCAGATTCGATGGTTCAATGAACGTGTTCCATGATGTGATTTCAAGATTCCAGCCGGTAGAGTACATATTTTGTAGATCTGCAAATAATCCGTTAATTTCCGTCAGGCTTTTCATCATCTTTTAGGGAGCTATTAACCTTTCCAGGATGGGCTTCTGCAAAGAAAGATTTTGCTTTTCTTAGTCTGCGCTTTTTTAATGCGAGATGGAACGATTTGCAAGTTTTATTCGTTGTAGTTTCAAGTCCGAACGCTATTGTTTTATTCTGAATACGATATAAACTTTGAAAATGGTGTGTCTATTTAAATACAATATACGGTAATGTCTCTCTAACTGACGCTCAGATTATCCACGAAAATGGACAATTTTGGAAGAGGAGATACGATTGTTCGAGCTTTGTGGCTAGTTTTTTTTATAGTTATCGATTGGCAACAACAATAAAAACGAGCTGCAGGACTCGTAAAATCGTATCTCCTCTTCCCAAATTGTCCATTTTTGTGCACAATTTCGGCGTCAATTAGGGAGACATTACTGTAATAGTTCAGTGTCGCTTTAAAGATTTCCCAAAACCGTTTATAAAGATTTCCTGATTATATTGAACTATGTAGTTACCGAACTATAGATTAAAATGTCATGATTTCTATTTGCAAACTTAAATTTTAGTTTGAACGATATTTTTCATTTCTGTCTACCATTGATATTATAAATAATGCAAGCATTCTCAAATAGTAAAATTACTAAATACAGTGTGCCCATCCTGATCCGGACTATAGTGTTCAATCAACCTATTCCAATTCCCCCAATTCCCCCCATAATCCTGGTCATTCCATAATACTGTGCAGAATCGACAAGTTGGGCAGAGGAACTTGTTTCTGATCGGTGCCACGGACTCTGATGATTAAACAACTCCAACTTCTGCTTTACGTATCTCTTTCGCATGAAGCAAAGATAGTGTTCCACAGCAACAAGAATGTGCTGAAAATATGTGCCGAAAAATCAAAGATGAGACAAGTCGGGCAAAGCGAACTTGTAATTTCTCCACGGTATTATCAGATTTTGAGAAGTTGGCAGTCGACCGCAGTTCCCCCTAATTCGATAGAACAATCTACGAAACAAGTTATATTCAAATGAAGTATCAGCCAATTCGATTCCTCTTTTCCCCCCGTAACGTCACGACTGCCAGTTCCCGATACAATCGACCGAGAAATCTTCACGAAATCCCTGAAAGTGCATGCGGAAAGGCGTCTCGAAAGTTCGACAAAGTCCAGTTTCATGTTCCAAGCCGCAGATAAACGATAGAAACGGGTGAAAGTAGGAAGACCCCTTGAATCGGGCAGTTAGTTCTCCGACCTCGCGAGACCAGAAACAAAAAAGCAAATACCAACCGCGACGATCGTCGATCACCGGTGCGAGATCAGATTGATCAGGAGTGGCAGCGGGTGTTTCAGTCACGGGCCCTGGCCGCGTGCGTTGGAGCATACGGGAACCCTCGACGATTTCCTCGACGGGTCCGTCGACCAGCGTGCCGCCATTACCGCCACCACCCTCGGGCCCAGGGCCTACTCCGTTCCACAGGAGGCCCCCGCAGGTCCATCGGAAATGTACGTTCTCTGTACCACGTGCCAGCTGCCCGCTAGCCCAACTCTCTATCTCTCTTTCTCTCTCTCTCTCTCTCTCTCTATCTACCTCTCTCTATCTCTCTATCTCTCTCTATCTCTCTCTCTCTCTCACACGTAACTCGGTTCTCTACCAACCCACCTGCCCCCTAAACAACCCTCTTACTGTATGCCGCAACCCTACACCCACCGAAATCCCTGTCTACTAACCAGATAACGCCTCTTCTACGACTCTTTGACCCCTAAACAGTCTAACACGTCGACCGAACCGTCGCGGATGTGTTAGTTTGTCCAATGATGTCCGTGCGGTTTCCTAGAGAGGCTGCGCGATTTGCTTCCGTCGGGCAGGTTTCGATCTGCGGTGGCTGGGTCACTGGAGACCTCTAAAATTGTTGGAACAGCTCGAGTGGATTAGCTGACGCTAATCATTAGCGTTATTTTTGTTTATCGTGATGTAAATAATTTGATTAAATGTTTGCTCGACCTGTGAAAAATTTAAATACGCGTATCATTGTAGGCAGCATTGTTAACATTTTATTGTTAGGTCAAACTATTATTAATCGCTTGATATACCATTTCCTTCGCAGTTACTGCGATTCGGAAGTTTTCGATTGCAATCATTTCTTAGAGGGGAAAGAAAATTGATGCTTATCGCGTGCCTAAATTTACTTGAACGCTTAACCCTTTGCACTCGAGTGGTGACTCTGATGCACCACTAAAATTCTTACATCACGTTTCAAGACAATTTTTATATTCTCGGTGTTTAGATATAAAAAATTGTTAAATGTCTAACTGTTGTACGTGTTACAAGACTCAATTTCATATGCGTAAAATGCACTTTGTCACGTGAAATGGAAATACCGTAAGTCAGAAAAATTAACTTAGATTTACAGTTAAAATGACTTCGAGTGCAAAGGGTTCAATATTGATGGCAAGAGATTAGATCTTCTATTCCAATTTTAAAGGACAGAATAACATCTATATTCGATTTATTACTATTTATTACTACATTACTATTGCTATTTTTTTTATACAATTTATTACTACAATCAAGTTATTACTAAAAATTTCCATGGCGAGTCGAACTGGTCAAAGTACGGCAAAGGGTTAAGTTTGGGTCTTTTTGGGTCCATTGAGTCTATTTATTATTAGTACTATTTATTACTACATTACTATCGCTATTTTTTATACAATTTATTACTAGAATCAAGTTATTACTAAAAATTTCCATGGCGAGTCGAACTAGTCAAAGTACGGCAAAGGGTTAAGTTTGGGTCTTTTTGGGTCCATTGAGTCTATTTATTATTAGTACTATTTATTACTACATTACTATCGCTATTTTTTATACAATTTATTACTACAATCAAGTTATTACTAAAAATTTCCATGACGAGTCGAACTGGTCAAAATACGACAAGAGGTTAGGTCTTTTTGGGTCCATTGAGTCTTTTTGACAATTAAGGGTTGAAATGTTGCTGCTATTTAAACGATTTTGTTTTACGTCAACGTATTTGTCTTCTGGACCATTTCTTAAACAATTTTTACGACCCTGTGTACACGGTTTTTGAGACTCCAGTGCTCAGCCATAATCGAGTCGATTCATACAAGACTTTAAAAAGCCATTGTATCGAGTCGTGCGAATGAAATCGTTCGATTTGTAACCATTTTGCAGTCAGGATTCCACGGTAGAACAAGAACAGCACGGACACATTGGTCGAAGCTACGATTCTCGCCCCGTTTACTTGGTTCTGTTTCTTTCAGTTTCTGCCCGAACTCTGACTCGTTCACCCCTTACGGTCGCGAAATTGTCAGAGGATCGAACCGCCCGTCGCGTTCTCGGTCCCGAAACAAAAGAAACGTTTGTCCCTCTTCGTTGAAAGACTCGTGAGTCGATGAAATTAGGCATTGTACCAACGAACAGGCACGCAGACCCGTGCTTCGAATCGATCCATCGTCCACGTTGCCGGATCAAATCAAAATTTCGATAACTCGCCGTAAATCGCGATCGATTCTCTTCTGAAATACTAACTAACCCCTTCGAGAATAAATCTCGATGAACGTAACATTCCATCGAATTGCTGTTTGAACGACTTGGGCGAACGGAAATCGAAGAGAAACATTTTTCGAGCGCGGCTTTCTCGTTGAATTTTAATGTCGAAATAAGATTGAATGAAAGCTGAAACGTGTTTATAGTTCTCGAAGGGGTTAAAAAGATTCCTGGACAGAGAAAGTCTCGCGGGAAATTTCGTTTTCGGAGGATCGATGTTCGGCCAGAGAGCGTCGCAATGTTAGAACAGTCGCACGATTTCGGCTCCCGTCGATCGCGACACGATCGCGCGGTGATCGCGATAGCGAGAGGCGAACCGAGATGACGCGATTCCGCGCGGGTTCGATTACTCCGTGAGACCCTTCAGCCCTCGACGACCTCTCCAAATAAGAATGAACCTCGCCGAAGCGGCGCAGCCTTGCTTAAAATGTTCGACGATCGCGCGGACCGTCGAAAATCGAGAGACTGCAGCCTCCTCGAGCGGCCTTTCCCGTCGAGCAACCTAGAAGCCGAATCTCTCGACCCTTCTGACGCACGAAATTCGGTTTGCTCGAGCTTTTTGTACACGAGAAGGAACGGTAGAGTAGCTATAAATGGCCTGCGTATCTCTTCGTTTTGCATTTGTCCGTAGTGTTGCAATCGATCGTGTATTTCGGAATGATTTAGCGTTTCGAGAGGAAACGGAGTAGCTTGAGCGAGCAGTAAGGAGTTTGCGAGATGCTTGGTGAACGGTGATCGGTCTCGAAACACAATGATTCCTGTGGTATGTTAGAAGAACGACGCTCCTTTCCTACAAAGAACGAAGAACAACGCTATTCGTTGCCCGTTTAAATGTTTCGATTGCTTCTCAATGCGCCGACGCTCGAGTCCAATCGCTTCCGATTCAATAGAAGCGTCCATTTCGCCGTTTCTGCCCCTCTGTCGGGGTCGCATCGAGTTCCAAAACCCTCGCGGATCGGTTTCAAGGGGGACATAGCCAGTGGCCGGACGAAAATAGCAAGCTCGTCGACCATTCTCGGACGACCGCAGGGACCTTTTTCACTGGCCGAGACGAACCTGTTCGCAGACGCGAAGGAAAGGAAGACCTTCTCTCCACTGAAAGGAGAGACCTTCTCTACTTTCAGTGGAGAGAAGGTCTCGGGGCCGTCTTACGCGCGTCTCGCGGCTGTAGTTCAGTTTTCATTTGGTTTCTCGATGGCTCCTTTATTCGGAGGTTTAACCCTTTCGGTACGAGCGCCGGATGTATCCGGCATCCATCCGATGACCAATATGGACGAGTGCCTAATACATCTGGCATCCGTGTAAGCCATATTTCTGTAGGCCCTTTACAGAATGTTTACAGGAAACATTTAAAGAAAGATTAGAAACGGATTAAGCACAGTCATTACTTAACGCTTAAGAAAATCTTCGTACAAAAGTGGACCGACCCTGCGTTTTGTGCGCATTTTCGGCGCGGCGCCCCGTACAGTGGGAGTGTCACGGCGGACAACGCGCTCGTACCGAAAGGGTTAATTTTAAGAGCTCGCCGGAGCGTGAACTAGCCGAGCGACGAGAGTACTCTATCGGTTTAGGGGGTGGTTCTGACCGTGTTTAACCCTCGAATGGCGGACGTCAGTGTACCGGCGAATGCAGGGTCCGTCCGGATCCACAGTAGCGATATCCCGCAACCATGTCTGATCTACTTTCTCCGGAATTGTTTCTCTCGTGCAACTTGTACAGCGGCGTGCAACTGTTTCCGCTTCGACAGATTCTGTACTTTCTGTTTGCCGGTGCTGCAGGAGACCGACCGAAGTGCTAACTTTGTCGAACACACGCGTTGAAACGCGGCGTTATCGCAGCGGTAGCATTTGGTATTGAATTCTCTTCTAGACTCCGTCCTCCTAATTTTCTTCTAAATCTTCTTCTCGAAGACTACGGTAATGTCTCTCTAATTGAAGCTGAGATTGTCCATAAAAATGGACAATTTGGGAAGAAGAGTTCTAGTCTTGCGGCTCGTTTTTATAGTTACGAATTGCCGACCACTATGAAAACGAGCCGCAAGGCTCGAATAATCGTATTCCCTCTTCTTAAATTGTCCATAAAAATGGACAATTTGGGAAGAGGAGTTTTGCGAATTCGAGCCATGCGACTTGTTTTTATAGTTACCGATTGTCAACGATTACAAAAACATGGTGCAAAGCCGGAATAATCGTGTCTTCTGTTCCCAAATTATTCATTTTTCTGCACAATCGGAGCGTCAGTTAAGGTACAATCATTACTGTACAGTAATGTCTCCCTAATTGACGCTCAGATTGTCCACAAAAATGGTCAATTTGGGAAGAGGAGCCTTGCGAATTCGAGCCTTGCAACTTGTTTTTATAGTTACCGATTGTCAACGATTATAAAAACATGGTACAAAGCCGAAATAATCGCATCTCCTGTTCCCAAATTGTCCATTTTTCTGCACAATCTAAGCGTCGGTTATGGAGACATTACTGTGAATACAAGTACAGTAATGTCTCCCTAACTGACGCTTAGATTGTCCGCAAAAATGAAAAATTTGGGAAGAGAAGATACAATTATTCGAGCTTATTGTAGCTCGTTTTTATAATTGTTGACTATTCGTAACTATAAAAACGAACCGCAAGGCTATCGAATAATCGCATCTCCTCTTCCCAAATTGTCCATTTCTGTGGACAATCTGAGCGTCAATTAGAGAGACATTACTGTAATTCATGCCTACATTTACTTCAACTCCTCGCACTGTAACAACGGGTCAGACTCGTGAAGATTTTATACACGTTCCACTAAATATAAATATTGTCTTCTTTCTTTTAAATCAACAGAAAATTTGATATTATCGAAATCTAGGAGCGAAAAAGTGTAACGAACGAGGAGAGATAAGAAACAAAAAAATTGTCTGGTTTTACGAGGAGAATTGTTGTGAAATAGATTCAAGTGCACACGAGATTTAATTTTGACTCGAAGGAGGGGTGTAACTTTGATACTTGGGGAGGAAAAATACTTGCAGCACCGGGGTAATGGAATTCGTTGATCCTATTTGTGAATTGGATTCAATTTATAATAAATTAGCCCGAAAATGTACTCTCTTATCTATTATATACAACGTTATATACGAGAGATAACTTTGCATCATCATAGAATCGTTTTGACAATATTTCGAGAATGGAACGTTCAAGCGTACACCGATTTCATACACGAACATCTGTCTCGAAACTGTTGCACGCCACAGCACAAGCCTGGACTCTGTCGTAACATTGACTAAAGTCGTTCACACGTACCGTAGCCTAGCCGTTGACCATCTAGTACATATATATATATACAGTAGCTTGATACGAGTTTCGAACAGTTTGCATGCGGTAATTGGTTGGTATTGGGATGCGTCGCACCAAGTACATGTCCGTTATGGTTGATTATGATATGTTAGGTGCTCTGTAATTATTGGAATATCCGGTAGCGAAAGACGGGGGTTTCTTTCTTAAATTGTCGTTGATTGACGGTACACAGACGCGGGTCGGGAGGGTCCCGGTATCCGCCGATCGAGGGTTATGCGATCGGTGAATACGCAACCGAGCGTTGATCGAAAGCGCGAAAGAGGGCTCGCCGAGGAGGCGTCGTCTAGGACCGGTCACCGGAAACCAGGCTCGTCTCCACGCGAGACGACCGTGTCCGGTCGCATTTTAAGCAGGGCTGCCGGTCGAGGCTCAACGACAGCGTAAGTTCCCCCCCGCCCGACGGAGGGTGTCGGCCTTTATTCATCATTGTACTTTCTTGTCCGGTATGTTCTAGCCTTCCTCGCAACCACCGCTCCTCCCCATCGCCCTCTTCATCAAGCCAAACCCTCAACCACTACCACCACCACCGCCACCAACACCACCAACACCACCACCACCGCTAGTACCACTGTAAAACCCCCGGTAAAGCATTCAGTTCATACGAGTGTCCATCACCCACCTGCGTCGAGCGCTGCCGCTGCGGCCAGGCCGGACCGTGTTAAAGATATAAGCCGGTGCCAAGGTCCGAACGAAGCTCAGGCAAAAACGGCCCGCGACGAACCAGCTGCGGCTGCGGCCGCAGCCGCCGCCGCCGATCCATCCAAATCATCCTCCGATAGTCGATACGCGTCAAACCAAGCCGCTACCGCCGTCCAACCTAGTAAGTAGCATGCTATCTGCCGTTCGGCCTGTTGCTAATTTGTTTCGCTCGAACGTGCAACGATCTTTTACGCTTTTCGTGTTCGTTGTTGTGTATATATATCACTCTGCAGGCTGTCCCGAAAATGTCTCGGAATCCGGAAATGGGAGGTTCCCGAGGTGATTCGAAGCAACTTTCTCCTTTGCGAAAATTTTCTCCGAGGCTTCGTTTACGAGTTATTAACGAAAAACACTGACCAATGAGAGGCGAGCTCGGCTGGCGCGCGGCGGCCCGGCCAACGAGCGCACGGAGCCCAGTGCCGCTCGTTGGCTCGGCAGTCTCGCGTCAAATGATCTCGTTTCTGATTGGTCACGGTTTTTCGTTAATAACTCGTAAACGAAGCCGCGGATCGTATTTTTGCTAAGGAAAAAGTTGCTTCGAATCACCTCAGGAATTCTCTACTTTCGGATTGCGAGACATTTTTGGGCACCCTGCAATACATCTCTCTTTCTCTCTCTCTCTCTAACTGTCTATCTATCTCTATCTCGCTCTCCTCCCCTCTATCTGTCTATTTCTGTACTTCTCTGTGTCTCTGTCTCTGTCGAGAGGTCGTCCCAGCAGCACGGCTTTTCAGTCTCGTCCTGTCGAGTGCCCTTTGACAATCACACCACTCGAACTCTGCCACAGCGTTTCCCAATCTGTGGTTCAGACACTCGAGCATGGAACTAGCTCTTTGGAAGTATTGATGTTTTGAGGGTTGATTCTGCGAGGCAATCGAAAATTGCGTCGAATGTGAATCAACGTGTAATTATCCGAGGCGATAGACGCTCGTATCAATCGTGCGTACACGAAAGCTTTCGAAGACGAACTGCGAGTAAGTACCCGGGTATTAAAAATCATTTAAAGGGCTAAGTGGTGTGCGCGCCTGCCGAAGGGCAATCCGCCGAGCACCGATGTCGATCGGTAGGTCTGACCGTCGATATCCAATGGCGCGGGCCGAACCGCTCTCGCCCGATTCTTTAACACGTTCGCTATCAACGTCGCACGTGCGTAACGTTCACGATTTCATAGCTCGCGTGAATATTGTTAAAGTAATTTTATGCGTTTTAGTATCTGTAATCGTAATATACGTAGCATAATAATCGGGAACTCTAGAACTTTCGTTTGAGAAATTATTTGAATATTTCTAAGGAAGATGCGCCGCATTTGCAAAATATTGATAGACGATATTGGGCGATAGACGTACGAAAAAAAAAAGTGGTGGTGGTGGTAAACGTGTTAACCATCGTTAATTAAAACTGTTGATTCTCGATTCAGGTACCGTTCAACGTTATCGATTCAATAATTTCGAGCGTTCCTCCGATAATACCGATAAAGCAAATAACAGAAGAGTGCGCACCTTTCAACAGAACCGTCGATACTTCGTCAAAGTAAATAACAATTAATCGCAGCTCGCATTCAATAATTCCAATGCAAAGTCCTCGGCAGATGCAACTGGATGTAACGATCGAATCACTCGCTGTAGTATGCAACACGCTCGACGTCTGTCAGCACAAAATCCCAACCATGCACGAATGTACGTGTGTCATCCAACACTCCGTTAGATCGTGACTAACCGTACCGTCGCAATCGATACCAACGGAAACACTTACATCGTCGACGAAATCCCTGGTTTTCGAGCAGAAAGTTTTGGGGAGAACGCTATTCCGCGGGATCAATTCTTCGATCCCACTGTGTCCACCGTATAATCGTCCGATCGACTTATTCTCACGGAGAAAGCGGCAGATGAAGATAGAAGAAGCTCTCCCCCTAGTTTCACTTATCCGTGGATCACGATCCCGGCGATGTTCCGTAATATAACTAAACGATCTGGCGCGGCGTCTCTCGAACTAACAAGAGCGATCCTCGAGGCAGCAGCCTCGTCACGGAAATCTCTTAAAACCGTTCTCTCGAACCGGCGCTCACGTTTAATCTCGCCAGCTCGCAGCATGAACGTGCTCTCCCCGGCGCAGGAGTGTAACGCTTTATTAATTTATCGCACGGTCCTCGAGAAAAGCTGTCTCGCTTCTGGGACGACCTAGAAGATCTATATCCCCCCCTTCCGCATTGGTACTCGCTGTGTCGTCCAGTCTCGTTCTTTCAATCTCCTTACACTGTACGTCGCCTCTGGCCTCCTATCTCTCTCTCTCTCTCTCTCTCTCTCTCTCTCTCTCTTTCAATCTCCTTACGGTGTACGTCGCCTCTGGCTTCCTAGATCTCTCCTTCTCTCTCTGCCTTTCGATCTTTCTTTCTCTTTCTCCCTCCCTCTCCCTCTCTTTCTCTCTCCGTCTTTCAATATTTCCCTCTATTTTTCTCTCTGTATTTTTCAATCTCTCTCCCTTTCTCTCTCTCTCTCTCTCTCTCTCTATTTTATTCCCTCTCTTTTCTATCCCTATTTTATTCTCTCTCTCTCTATTTTTTTCTCCTTCCTTCTCTCTCTCTCTATTTTATTCTCTCCCTATTTTATTCTCTCTCTCTCTTTCTCTCCTATGTCCTCTCTTTATCTCTCCCTCTCCCTCTCTTTCTCTCTCCGTCTTTCAATATTTCTCTCTATTTTTCTCTCTGTATTTTTCAATCTCTCTCCCTTTCTCTCTCTCTCTCTCTCTCTCT